TAGCTTATTCTATCCTCATGCTATTCTCCACCGCGGAATGAATCATAGAGAGAAGCTGTACTAGCAATGACGGTTTTAGATGAGAATCATGCTTCTTCGTACTCGTGGTTCTTTTCCCTCTTTATGTGTTGTTCGCCGTTGACTTCTTGCCTGGCCCGGAAGTCACGTCGTAGTAAGTCGCCGTCTCTTACTACTACCGAGAAGTCGTGGCCTGTGGGCAGATATACCGATCAGGACTTGCTGATCAACAAAGACGCGGAGGAAAAAGGCAGACCGACGGTGATACACACCTCTGCTGTGGAAGTGAGCCCTTCCATCCTACCCCTGCCCTCTGACTCCCTGGGGTTGGACGAGAAGGATATGGCTCCCCGAAAGAGCGTTGCCTCGACTCGTAAAGAGAGTCGTCTCAAGAAGATCTTTCGACCAGCCAATCCAAACAAGCGACCCAAGATTTCAGCACCCTCCGACTTCCGTCACGTAGAGACCGGCTCCTTCGATTTCCCTCCAGTTGAAACGCCTCCTCCCCAGCCTCAGCTGGATGGTTTGCGTCAACACTCTCCCCACCTTCGTCCGCTTGAACTGAGCATCTATATGCCAACCAACCGGATATCGCCAATTCTTCCCCACTTCGAATTCCCACCCGTCAAAACCCCCGAGAAGGCTGTTCTTGAGGAGCGACTTACCGACGACCATCAGCTCGTACGACAGAGAAGCTATACCTCGGTGCCGTTCCACATACCTCGAAAGCCTGCGATTGAGGATTTGTCATTCAGTCCGACTTTCCCTCCAGACATCCCACCCAAGTCTCAAGCACGGGCTCGCGCGAACACTTCGCCAGAAATAGAGGCCATCAAAGCACGCGTTGCGAACGCCATGCTTGAGGTTGAGGAGCTTCAGAGGCAAATTGAAGAAGCTGCTGAGCGTCAGAGTCTGTATGCTTTCAGCCGCCCATCTACAAGCCAATCGAGGGCTGGTAAGTTTTCATCAATACGGAAATTGAACTTGGCTTCCGTTCCTTGGCTGACCTCTTTCGAACCAGAGTTAGAACCTATGCCATCGATACCTGCACTACCGCCAGCCGCACCTTCATTCGCCGAAAGGCTGAATTCTGGTGTCCAACTTGAGCGGCCCCGCACAGCCCCGTTGAATCATATGTTCCCTCCACCTATCTCATCGGAGCGTTTGGGAGAAAGCCTAGCCGAGCTTGAGGCTAAATTGCAGTTGCAACAAACTCCCACGCTGGCGCCGCCTCTTCCCCTCGTGCTCCGCCCCCCGTTACGGAAGAAGAAATCCTTCTCTCGGGTTTCGACATGGCTATTCCCTCATGGCCAGCATAAACGTGACGTGAGTCTTGATTCCGTCACCAACGTTCCTCGGCCAATCAAAGGGACCGAAGGATTCTACCAGTGTGTCCAACCTGGAGGGCCGGCCCAGCGTACATCGTTTGATTCCTTGGATACTGTCTCTACCTGGGATTCAGAGGACGATCAACGCACGGCACCAACCAATTGGTCGCCTGAAAGCACACCCGTCGCTAAAATGGAGGGTGTTCCTATGGAGAGGCAACTGACTTTTGGAAAAAGAGGTTGTTGTTCTCCCTAGGCAGAGCGAGTACTCTGCCACCTGCATTCATTGTATGAGCAGTTTTTCCTTATTTGTTCCGTCTTCCCCCATGTTGTTTTGGGTCAATGATACCATTTTTGTACATTCACAGACATGCAGCGCGTGTCCCTGATAGAGTTACGGGTACTGTAAATAGGTCGGTGCTCAAAGGCGCGTATAGATGAGCGGGATTGTCATATTAGGGTTTCTTTTCCTTTGTGTACATGCTGGCTGTTGTTATATAATCGTGGGCAGTTGCCGAGAGCAACTCCCTGCCTTATTTTGGAGGCTGTTATTTCTCAATAGAAGGCGACTGGGTTTCGCCTGGAACTTGATCTTCAGGGAAGATCGACAAAACACTAATGGATACATACATGCCGTAATTTTGAGCTACTTCACCATGGAATTGAGCACAGCCTGTGTTGGACCATTCGACTTCGTATGCTGTACTCTCTCTCGTGAGATCATGTCAGATGATGAGAGCTGATGGTGGATTCGTGCAACGAATCGGTGATATGAAGGGCGGTGGCGAGCTAGATATCTGCAAGTGCCACTGCCGTGGGCTCAAAACGTGGGAGTGAGATCCGTCTGGGGTGCAGGACAAGACGTGACGAACGACAGACAGACCGGGGGATTTTCCAACTGGCTGGATCAATTTAACTGTGTTGGGGGCGCGGGCACTTCCAGCGGCTAGCAGGGGTATTGCAGCGCCTAATCGACAGCCCAGCCACTATGTCGGTGTTGCGCTGGAATTGTGGTGCACTTATTACAGGGAGCCTGTCGCTAAGTCAAGAGAGCTGCCTGTTATTGGTGGTGTAGCTTGCACGTGGTCCTTTCGCCTGCTGATCTCGGGCACCAAAGAGTGAGAAATGTGAGTGTTTCACCGCAGACTGACAACGCAAGTCGCTGCGCCCTATCTTCCGATGAAGGCTCACTTCATCTTCTATTATCTTTCGGCGTGGCTGATATGAGTCGATAAAGGCCCACACCACACGACCAGTTTCCGCCCTGGTCGATTCACTCGTTCACCTTGTCCTCATACTTCTTAGAAGCAAGCAGGCCTACGTGCGGTGGAGGGCGCTCCCACCCCCTTGTTTTTGGCCCAGATGGCTCCCGATATAATGGCACGCATTCGATGGATATTCTCTCGACTTGTGAAGTCAAGCTACAGATATACCCCTGTTCCGGACGACGAGGCGCCCCAGTTCCGGCCACATCTCGTCAAGGAACGGCGCAAGAAGGCCGGCTACTTCTGCCTGGGCATCGCATTGCTTCTGCTGTTACTTTATTTCGCCATTCCTTATGGGTATGTTTCTGCTTTCATCATTCATCCATTGCGCACCGCCAGTCGCTGATTTAAAATACTAAAGTGATCTTGCCAAGTCACTGCCTGGCTGTGAACGTAATGGCAAATGCAAGCCCAACCCTCATCGCTGGGGCCAATATTCCCCATTCTTCTCAGTGCCCTCAGACATTGATAGCAGTATTCCTGAGGGCTGTGAGGTTACTTTCGCCCTAGTCCTCTCTCGCCATGGATCTAGGAACCCGACGAGCCCCAAGTCGGCGCTCTATCAAGAGCTGATTGAGCACATTCAAAGCTCAGTCTCACACTATGGGGAGGGCTTCGAGTTTCTCGCTGACTACGCATATACGATTGGCAACGATGACCTTACTAGCTATGGAGAACAGCAGATGGTTGACTCTGGCGCCGCCTTCTATAAGCGCTACCGTAAACTAACTGACGATATTGACCCATTTATTCGTGCGGCTGGCTCGTCGAGGGTTATCGCGTCTGCAAAGAACTTCACCCATGGACTCTATGCCGCTCGAGGGAGCGGTGGCAATCGCGCCGAAGAAGACATCCTAATCATTCCCGAGATCGACAATTTTAACAATTCCATCAATCACGGCTCCTGCTCCCGGTTCGAGGATGGGCCATACTCCGACCTCAAGCATGAGAAGCAGACTGCCTGGAAAGAAAAGTGGCTGCCTTCAATCACGAAGCGGCTCAACCAGAAACTGCCTGGTGCCAATCTGACTCTAACCGAAACTGTTTATTTCATGGACTTGTGTCCTTTTCACTCGGTTGCTGACAAGAACGCTAAGCCGTCGCAATTCTGTAGCTTATTCTCGGAAGATGAGTGGCGAGGGTATGATTACTACGAGTCACTAGACAAGTGGTACGGCTATGGCTCTGGAAACCCCTTGGGCCCAACTCAGGGGGTAGGCTATGTCAACGAGGTGATTGCGCGGTTGACAGGCGAACCGGTCAAGGACCACACCTCGACAAACTCTACTCTCGACTCGTCCCCTGAGACGTTTCCATTGGACAGGAGACTCTATGCAGACTTCAGCCACGACAACACGATGATATCCATCTACGCTGCGCTGGGATTATACGAAGGTGTCCCTGATTTATCTGTGGAGCATGTGGTGCCAGCAGACCAAGCCGGTGGCTTCTCTGCTGCCTGGGTGGTGCCATTCGCAGCACGCATGTATCTGGAGAAGATGCAGTGCGGATCTAACGACAAGGAGTATGTGAGGATTCTGATCAACGATCGGGTGGTGACGCCGAAGTGCACAGCTGACAGCCATGGTCGCTGTGAGTTGGACTCGTTTATCGACAGCTTATCGTTTGCCAAGTCTGGTGGCAAATGGGAGAGCTGCGAGGTGTAGATGTCTTGTAATTAATTACCTAGAATTCCTTCGCAGATTGAAAGCAGAAGAGTGTGAACCGGCAGGCTGCTGATGACAGCCTTGGCGTTGCACGGTCCATGTCTTATCCAAAAATAGAAGCCAGATGCCAATCTATTACCGGAGGCAGTTGCGAGAGACGCACAGGGATGAATGAATAGTTTATCTGACCGAGTAGAGCTAAAACTCCCAGACCCATCATTTACGAAGGGAACACTATGAAGCTGCAGAACTTTAGTGAGACACCTTGCTCTGGCCTTATCAACACTTTCAATTGCAGAGCGAGCTATGAGGGGGATAGCTTCAGCCTGCAGTCAGCTGGGTGAGATTTCCTGGACCATGGTAGGGCAGTTTACAGGGGGCTTACTCACTAATCCGAGCGCAGGCACCTATATTAGCCCACAACCATCCACTATCCTCTGGGGGATCTCGCCAAACGCCCCACCATTGAAGGAATCCTACCGCAAACAGCGTCGGTTACAGTGGGATAGGGCGGGTGATGACCCCCCGACCCTCGATTTCCTTGAGCTGTCTCACTCCAAGCCGAAGTACTTCGCACATTCAAACCAACCACCATCCAAGCGAACGAACTTTGGAGAAGTGACCAGGACCTGTCTACGTGCCTGGCCTACACACATCCTGATCGACATCGCCGAAGCGACCTGTGAAAAACGTGGATCGAGAGCTCGAGAAGCACTGAGGTCATGGTGTCGGTAGGTGGCGGCATCGCTATTGCGATCTCCGTGCTACTGGTGCTTGCGGTCGTGGGCTGGGTCGGCTTCACGCAACTGCGCGCACGCAAACTTGGAGTAAGTGACGGCCTCTGCATCAATTTTCCATCTGGGAAATGCTCCCCTCTCTTGTATTGCGACTGCAAACGAAGTGCGCTCAAGCCACTGCGGCCAGCTGAGCTGCCTGCTGTTCCCTTGCCACAGTCTGACTGATCATGCGATGCATCTAGCTCCCACCACCAACCCTCTCATCATACATCCCGTGGAAACAATCCGATAGCTACAGGGAGCCCCGATCCGCCTCGGGCGGCGTGAGGGGCTGGTTCGGCAAGCTGGGCAACCGCAACAAGCGCTCCGCGGCGGGCGCCTACGAGCAGAGCGGGCAGCAGCGCGGGTTCGGCGGCGGCGGCCTCGACCCAGACGATGCGTGGGACTCGCGGGTCCACGACGACGGCTACGGCTACTACGAGGAGAGGGAGCTGGAGGGCCGGGAAGGCCTGGGCCATGGCAGCACCGAGTATCCCGGCGCGGCCGACTATGGCGGCAGGAACCCGACTTCGGTCCATCTCGATGCCGCTGAGGAGAGGGGGAGGACGACTACACGGGGACCCGGGGCTCCCGGTGCAAACCCATTCGACGATGATGCGGCGTCCAGTCTGAGGGATGTGAGCCCAAGGCCGATGAGTGGAGCGCCGGGAGCGGCACCCGTCAGAAACAGTCTTGAGGGCCGGAGGTCAGCATTCAGAGAGGATGTATGACGAGGTCATAGGGGGGAACCGATTTGGTAGACCGCTGCGTTACGGGATGAATGGAAACTCCAACTATCATCCGTTCGGAATGTGGCGTGTGGACATTGGGGCGAGTGAGAGTGACTCTCAGGTCACTAACACTGGCGGCATGTGTTGATTTCTCAATTGTGTGGTGAAGGCAGGCTGGTTTTTTTGCGTTCGCTTTCTTCGCATGTATCATTGATGGCTCGGTTTCTGGTTCAATTATTTCATACGTCTCTCTCTCTCTCTTATTTTCTTGTTTAAATCCCCTCGTGGCACATCGTCCGGGTTGCACGGCGTTCGTAAACGCTGGCAAAGGTGTTAACTGGGGGCCAAAAAAATCCTGGCAATGTATGTTTCTAGGTACATGTACATGTATGGATATGATTCTATCCGCCTACAATTGACATGAGGACCTGGACGTGGCCAGCCAGCCTTGTTTGGTCAAGGCTGACAATCGCTGAAGGATTCAACCAACGGTAGTCTGTCCATATCACACATGAATGTGCACTTGATGTTTAGTGGTCGTCGTTACACAGGCCCCCACGATGGCATATGTACATACCACCTACGTAGTATCTTTGCCCCGCCATTGAAACGTTGGGGGTAAGCTACCCCTCCGTCAATCACCCACCCCTCATATGACTACTAATGCACGTCTGGAGAACTTCTTGGTGAGGAGCTCGGGATAGACGGGATAGTTTTCGACAATAATTTCTTGCCCATTGCGTATTTGTTGCCCAATATGGCGGATCTCAATCTTCAGGCTATCCACGATGAGCTGATCCAGGTCGCTTATGAAGCTGGAAAGATGATGCTCGCCGCCAATCCAGCCAATATTGACACTGGCACCAAGTTGAACTGTAAGCTCACCAATGCCCTGACCTCCCAATCTAAACATGAGAAATCATTACTAAGAATGAATATCTCCCAGCTGTTGACATTGTCACCGAGGTCGACAAGGGAGTCGAGAAGATGGTCTCAACTCGTCTCTCCGCCGCCTTCCCATCCATCTCCTTCATGGGCGAGGAGACCTACAAGCCCGGGATGAGAATCGGCCCCGAGCCTACATTCGTGGTTGACCCAATTGACGGTTCGTGCCAACTCGAAACCACGGAAAGCCGCCAAAGCATCTAACAGAACCTTCCCCCAAAACCCAGGCACCACCAACTTCATCCACTCGTTCCCCGAAGCCTGCATCTCGCTCGGCCTCGCCATCGAGCGCATCCCACACGTCGGCGTCATCTACAACCCCTGGCAGGACCTCCTCTACACCGCCATCAAGGGCCAGGGCGCCTACATGACCCGCGTGAGGGGCACGACCCCCCAGAAGCTCCCTCTGGCGCAGACCCCGCGACCCATCTCGGGGCTCGGCTCCTCCCTCGTCGCCGTCGAATGGGGCGCGGACCGCCACGGCGCAAACTTCGACGTCAAGACGGCCGTCTTCCGCCAGCTGACCGCCAGCCGCGACATCGGCGGCTCCATGTGCCACTCCCTCCGCTCCCTGGGTTCCGCGGCCCTCAACATCGCCGCCGTCGCCGCCGGCCAGCTCGACTGCTACTGGGAGGGCGGCTGCTGGGCGTGGGACGTGTGCGCCGGCTGGGCGATCCTCAACGAGGCGGGCGGGAGGATGGCGGGCGGGAACCCGGGGCAGTGGGATCCCGCGCTCGAGGAGAGGGTGTACCTCGCCGTGCGTGGTGCCCCCAGTGGGCAGAAGGAGCTCGTCGAGGAGTTTTGGGGTGTAATTGGGGATGGCCGGCTGGACTACCCCGTCTAAAACAGACGATGAGATATCTTTTCTCATTTTGAGACTGAAATTTGGGTGTTAAGACGGGTTATTCAACAGAAGCACCTCCTGTGTGTGATGAACGATGTGTCGTTTTTAGATGTATCCCAAGATCAGGATCTCGTATTTCCCTTTAAGACAACAATGATAGAACGGATACCTAAAAAAGAGCACTGTAGATGTGCGCGCAATAAGACTGGCCTCCCGAATTGCCGTTACTTCCACTCCCTTGAACAATCATGATTTCACAAATACAAGTCATGGCGCCGGTTTTGCTTTTTCCCATTTCCCGAATGCATACCACCGTATATTTCCCTCGTCTATGATTCCTTAACATCGACCTTCTTGGCAGCAGGCTCCCCGGCGGCTCCGTCGTCTTCGCGTGAGCGCTTCCCGTTGGTGGCCTCTGAGCTGGACTGGATGGTGGGCTTCTTAACACTGAGATGGAGGTTAGTATCAACATGGAAGAATCAAGAGACACGGACCAATCACTTACTCATTAGGAGTGGACTGGACCTCCTCCTTGGGAGCGTCCCTTTGAGGTCGGGAGTCGCGATCGCGGTTGCCGCCACGGCCTCGTCCACCACGGCCTCCTCGTCCACGGCCCCGGCCGCCACCACGGCGATCTCTGAATCCGCTCTTCTGGTCGTAGTCGCGGCGCTTCTTCCAGTCATCGCGATCGCGGGGGCCATTACGGTCGTTGCCGCGACCACGGCCACCGCCTTGCTTGCCCTCGAAAAACTTCTTAGGGTTGGTGCTGTTGGGCTCGAGCTTGCCTTGGCGGATGAGGTCGTTCTTCTCTTGGCAGTAGGCGTGCTTGGTCATGATCTTGAGGTCATGCTCGTTCCACTTGGGGGCGGGGTCCAGGGCGACAAACTCCTTGGCGGCCTCCTCATCGGCAAAGGTGACGAACACAGAGCCCTTGAAGAAGTCTTCGTTGGTACGTCGGAGCTTGATGCCCTTGACATCACCGAACTTGGCAAAGAAAACCTCGAGATCGTACTGGGTAGTCGGGGTCTCGTCACCGAAGCCCTTGACGTATACCGTGGCAGCCTCGGTTTTAGCTTTGACTGCGCCCATCGGCTTGTAAGGAACCTTGCGCTTGAGGGTCTCCTCGCCCTCCTCACCCTCGACATCGATGACGCTACTGTCGCGGAGAGCAGCGACGACGGCGCTGTAGGGCTGGAATGATCGCATGCGCTTGAAGGAATGGATCTTCTTGACGGCGATGGGCTTATTTTCCTCGCCGCCGCACTGCTCCCACATGAACTTGTCCTGGGGGAAGTTGAAGTCGCCAAAGTAGAATTCGACCTGTGGGGAAGGGGAATATTAATTAGCAGCTGCCCTGTTCATACTTAGCATCAGAGGGCCTGTCGCATACCTGTTTGCGAATCGCAATGGGGTCGTCGCTGACCTCACGAGCGCTGGCGTCGAACTTGCGGTTGTTTCGAGGGTTCTCGTAATCAATCTGACCCTTAGTCTTCAGGATCTTGGCGTCATCCTTGCCCTCAGTCTTGCTCTCCTCCTTAGTCTCGGGCTTGGTCTCGTTCTCGGCCTCAGACTTTGCCTCTGCCTCTGCCTTGTCAGCAGACTCGGCGACGGGAGCCTCGACAGGCGCCTGCTCCTCAGCGGCGACGGCGGCCACCTTGGGCTCCTCAACAGCAGGTGCGTCGCTCATTATGATGCTGAAGCGGCAATTGATGATCGCTAGATAGACACTACGTGCAGCGGTCGAGGAATTGCGGATGCTGTGTGGAGGGATTGAGAGGAAATGTGACTCTTCGCAAGGCTGCCTTTTGGGAGGAAAAAAGTCAGGATGAGAAAATGAGTGGCGGGGCACTTTTTGGAGCTCTAGCGCGCAGCAGGGCTCTTAAGGAAAGGGGCTCTACTCTTTGGTCACCCGGGTTCAATGAGTCACCCTTCCGACAATTGAATCGCTCACTGCCTGGAAGCATTGTACAGGGCGCTAATTTCTGACTTTTATTCCAATTCCATTTTCTCTTGAATACAGTTTGTAGTATCTATTGCCTTTTACGCTGAATGGGAACAATTCCAAGGTACAATGTAATGTACCCAGAAAAAAATGCGACTTCACCGCCCGCTAGCCGCGCCTGATGATGATTTGCACTAACTCTTCCATGTTGCAGCTCTGCGCGACTGCGACTTAAATTATGTGCCAACCCCACCATTCCCGCTTGCCCCACCTACCAATCGTTCACGGCCTTGCCTTTCGGCAGCTCTCATGCGAATGTTTTCTGTTCCCTTGCAAGGAGCGGATCGGTACTGCTGTCGCCTGATGAGATGGAGGTAGCAAGAAGCTTCATTGGTTAAGGCCAGGGCCTTGACAGGAAACTCGTAGAAATCTACAATGCAATCAGTAATCGTATCAAAGCCGATATTACAGGTACCTACTGAACTGAGCAACTGTCCGAATTGACAGCAGGCAACCACTGAGGTTTTAAGAGGCCGCCCTTCCGCACTTGTTAATGATGCAACGTACAGGCGAGAAACAATGATGTGACCCAATACCGCAAGCAGGACTCGCCCTCACCCGCTCCTTCCCTTCCAACTCACCCGTTATCTGCTGATAATCGGCACCTTTTAGTGCTAGTGCCTTCAGACGCGATCGGCCGAGTGCTCCTTGTGGCCCCAACAATTGCCGGATGGTCGTTAAAAGCTGCAAGTCGATCGAGATCGGCTAGGACCAGATCAGGCTGGCGGCCAGCTTGTATTGCCTGACCAATTCCATTCAATTGCTTTCTTCCATTGTCCCATTTACCTGCCATGCGAATCTCTGCTGCGCACGATCTCACCTCGTCCCCAGCCAATCAATGTCCCAGGCACTGCGGTGATATGCTGCTCTAGCTTATCATTGAGTAGGCATCATTTCATCCGCACCATGACGCTCCCTAGCTCCTGTAGGGGATTGAGGGGGGTTCGCCCCGGGTTCCAGGCTATACAAGGGAGGTTGCCTATGCGCCAATGTCAAAGGAGTCTCTTCACTGTTTTCGGCAAGCGTAATAGCACGAGGCTCCGTCCCAGGCCGAGGATACCTCTTGGAATCGTCACCGGAGGGCTATTTGTTTGGTTACTGTACCCATCCGAGGATTTCGCGCGGCTCTCCAGCCATCCAGCATCACGGAAAAGCGCCAATCGACAGCAGCAGGAATCTCAGGCTCGCGAGGAAGTCGAGGAAGATGACGCCGCGAGCCCATCCGCGTGGTCCGACTTTTCTCGCGGCTTCCGCTCCTTCTCAAACGCAGTAGACCTTCAGTGGACTGCACTCTCTGACTCGTTGGTTGACTACATCCTGCCTGAATGGTCGAAACTCGTACCAGGATATCTCCGGAAGCTTCAGCAGGAGCTCTCAATTTCCCCAGGTTCTTTGGCCGATGAGATTTGGTCAGAGGCTCATGATCCCCTGGTCAATCCAGAGATCCGGTATTCGGCTGAGGTTCGCGTTTCATCCGACTTGTGCAAGGAGGAGAAGGAGTATCTTTCTCGGCGCAAGAGGGTAATTAGGGTAGCGCTCGCAAGGTATTTAGGCCTACAAGAGAACGACATCCATCCGGATGATATTCCCACTATTGCCATGTGTGGCTCGGGTGGAGGCCTCCGTGCTCTCATTGCCGGTACAGGATCGCTACTAGCCACCGAGGAAGATGGTTTATTTGATTGCATCACCTACACAGCCGGTGTAAGCGGCAGCTGCTGGCTCCAGACCCTCTATCTATCGTCCTTCACAAAGGGCCGGATCAGTGCTCTTGTTGATCATCTCAAAGCAAGAGCCCCTATTCATATCGCTTACCCGCCGGTAGCTTTCCAGTCTCTTGTCTCGTTGCCAACTAGCAAATATCTGTTGAGTGGTATGGTTGAGAAACTCAAGGGCGATACAAATGCCACTTTTGGTCTTGTCGACGTTTACGGACTGCTCCTTGGGGCAAGATACTTGGTTCCGAAAGGCGACCTTGGCGTAAGTGCAAGCGATTTCAAGCTCTCCAGTCAAAGAGAGTACATCAAGTATGGCCAGAACCCTTTGCCCATTTATACTGCTGTCCGCCACGAGATACCTGGGCTTCCAGCTGAGGCAGCCGGCTCTCTTCCAGCACGGGAAAAGGCAGCTCGAGAGTCATGGTTCCAATGGTTCGAATTTACACCTTATGAATTTTTCTGTGAAGAGTTCAATGCTGGAATCCCGACCTGGGCCGTTGGCCGGAAATTCAACAATGGGAAGGACGTTCCGCCTGAGCACGGCTTCCACCTCCCTGAAATCAGGATGCCGCTGCTGATGGGAATATTTGGCAGTGCGTTTTGTGCCACACTGAGCCACTATTATCGAGAAATCAAGCCTCTTGTCAGAAGTATGGCTGGTATGGGTGCTGTCGATGACCTGATCTCCGGGAAGAGCGAGGATCTGAGCAAGGTACACCCTATAGACCCTGCTACGATACACAACTTTGCCTACGGTATGCAAGGGAAACTGCCCAAATCAACACCAGCAAGCATCTATGAAAATGAGTATATTCAGTTGATGGATGCCGGCATGTCCAACAATCTCCCGATCTATCCATTGCTTCGCCCTGGACGAAATGTGGACGTCCTGGTTACATTCGATGCGTCGGCTGACGTGAAAATTGACAATTGGCTCTCCGTAGCTGACGGATATGCTCGAAAGAGAGGAATCAAAGGATGGCCCGTGGGATTGGGATGGCCCAAACCTGGGGAGTCCGTCTCTCAAACAGTTCAAGAACTAGAAGAGGCGTCGGCAGACACGACTCAGGAAGCCAGCAAAAGACTGCAAGAAGCAAAGGTACAACAAAGCCATCTGCGAGAGGAGGCCACCGGGGAGGGAAATGGCTTTAAAACCACCAAAGACGCCACCAAATTCGATCCAGGAAACGAAGACGCCGGTGACCTGGGTTACTGCACAGTTTGGGTCGGCTCAACTGAGGAGCGGAAGTCCACTGACCCTCCTTCCAAATCCAAAGTCGTATCAGGAGATGATAAATGGCAGCTCATGCATCCCAAAGCCGGAATTGCCGTCATTTACCTCCCGTTCCTTTCAAACGATAAAGTACCAGACGTGTCCCCAGGCACCTCGGATTTCCTCAGCACGTGGAATTTCGTCTACACGCCGGAGCAGATTGACGGCGTAGTACGCCTAGCACGTGCAAACTATGATGAGGGGAAGGAGCAGATCCGCTCGACAATCAGGGCTGTGTACGAACGAAAGAAGAAGCTTCGTGAAGAGGGCGAGAAGAGACGGAGAGATGAGCGATATCACTCCATAGCCCGACGTCGACTCCTAGGAGACGGCGATCAGTTTAGCTAGAGGAGAAATCAGATATTCACGAGAAGTTCATTTAGTTCTGAAATGCCTAATATATAATATATAACCATATATTATAACTAAATGCTGATACGTAGAGTCATTGTTTTACAATGTATTTTTACAGATAACATAGCAGCCAAGTCCCAGAGAACCAACCCGTCATCTACTTGTAGACTGCGCCCCTAAACCCCGACTCAATATATGCGTTAAATACACTCGTACACTGCGGTTCTATCATGAGATCGGTGACCATGGATGCCCTAGCTACATGAGCTCAGGTTTTTTTTAGATTACCTCTCCAATATCAATGTGAGGTGCCTTCCACGGCTTTGCGCCCTCCTCCATCATGTCGCTCGGCACACGTACTTTGTTGCCGGGGCTATACAGGTACCATGACTTTAGCGCATTCATGCACGCCTTCCGCCTGGCGTAATCCAAGCTGGGGGCATTGCCCTCTCCGAGCTTCTCCTTGCCACTGTAGATGCCCACCACGTAGACGGGAGTACGAGAGTGCCGACCAGTCTCGCTCTCCAAGCGAGCCAGAGGGGGCTCGAAGCCTTCACGGGCGCACAGCATGGCAAGCTCGCGAGTTGGCAGCTGGAACTCGAACAGAGACGACAGGTCGACCTGTCGTGAGAGGATGTGAGACTCGACAAAGTCTTTAGCGGCCTCACGGCCGGAGTGGCTGTAGATGGCACCGACGACGGCCTGGACAAAGGACGAGAACGAGGTGTCGTGATTGTGCTGGTGCGCGTCCTCCACAGACCCGGCGTCGACGGCATCTCCGAAGTCGCTGTCCAGGACAACACGGCTGCTCATGCCGCGGCGGTAGAAGCTGTGCTTGCGGTCGGTCTCGGCGCGGACGTAGCCTCCCCATCGGGTGCCCACCAGAGGGCCGGAGTTGGAGGTCCATTGGAGCAGTCCGGGATCGACCTCCTCGCCGGGAGCGGCAGCAGCCTCGACACCCCAGCGGCGGGAGATCTGGGCCAGTGACTCGGGGCCGGAGAACGCTCTCAGGGCTTCGTAGTGGATGACCATGGGTAGACGAGGCCATTTGCAGGTGATGTACTCGGCGACATGGTAGTTGATAATGGTGCTGCCCAGGAAGGCGAGATTTGCGTTATTAAAGCTGGAGTTGGGATCTGCTGAAGGTGTGACAAGGGCTCGTGCCAGAGTCTGGAGTGGGATTTTCTTGGAGAGGGATAGTCGGGAGTGTAGGGCGGCGAGCTTGGCTGATTGTAAGGCCTTTTCGGGCAGAGGAGACGGCAGCTTCCTGGGCAGGGTCTCCCCCTCTTCGGGGATCTGGTCAATTAGGTCCTCGGCGGGTTCTTGGACTGTCGATTGGCAGCGGACGGTGCTGGCTAGGAAATTTCTCCTTGGGATGGTGGCGGGACTGGAGCGGGCGTGGAGGAGCTGCCCACCCCATCGTGAGGGCCGGATACCCTTCATGAGGGCCAATTAGTCGGCAGAACCTCGTAGATGCGCCCCTTGGAAGCCCCTCAGGAAAAGGCGAGGATGTGAACGAGGCAGGCGTGCCGATGCGAGGTGGGTGGGTTGTCGCTGGAGGCTCCTTCGTCGAGTCGAAATCACCGGTAGTGGATGGCCCAGAAAAAGTTCTGCGCTCTCAACAGCTGTGACATGCCCAGGCCAGCGTTCGGGGTCGTGTGAGTGAGCGGCCGGGGGTGTGGGCGTAGGGAGCTAGCGGGCGGAAAATCAACCGGGCCGGGCGAATTCGCCAGGCCACTCACGTCGCGGGCATTTGGAAGCTCACCATCAACCTCTTCTGGCCCGAGGAACATCATCAAAGAACGCAATTGAGCGGCCAGTACCCTTTCCCGAACATCCCCGAACAAGATATCACAATGGTAGGTGGGCTCCGTGCCGGAAGAATGAGAATTGGGCTAACATTTGTTCAGGGTGGTGGCGCAAAGGTCCCGTGAGTTGGATCCCTCGACCGATACCTGGAGTCTCGACGACGAAACTATTTCTAACAGGCCCCCGAACAATTAGTTACCCCAAGTACGTTTGGTCGCCTGCCGGTGGCTGGTATGCCCAGCCCGCCAACTGGAAGGCCAACACCATCATTGCCGGTGCAACCATCGCCGCCATTGTTGCCGTCACCTGGAAGTTCAGCGCTGAGAGGGAGACATGGGCACACAAGCCGGAACCCTGGGAATGGCACCCTAGCCGATAGTACGTTTTAATTTTTATCGATTGCTGCCGAGTCTTGAGACGGATGGGCAACAGAACTTGTCTTGCTAACGATGTGCGCCTTAGCTGGTCGAAGCAACTGAAGCAGTACGATGAGGAGGATCGCAAGGCTGCGCAGGAAAAGCAATAGGGTTTATAGAATGGCAGATTACTGTGTAAAACAACCAGAATTTCACTTGCGTCTACTGTCAATATCCAATTGCAACATGATTCACCAAGTACATGGAAGAACAGGTCCGACAACCCTGAAGCATGAGCGGTTAAGTCGCAAATACTGTCATGGATAAGAATGGATAGCCCTGTCATCACATCTGTATCTAGGAACCCGACGGGAAGCTTTCGTTCGTTATCAGCATCAGCGGCGCTTTCGCTCGATGGTGGCATTGTGCAGCTACATTTCTTAGGATGTCGGAGACTCTTCACTAAGTCCCATGCTTTGCCATAAAGTAGGCTTCTAAATCGATGCTAGTTTAGAAAGTACCTACCTATGTTACTTTCTTTTTTAACGAAACAGAAGGTGGAACAGTGATCACTCCAAAGCCAATGTGTGATGTCAACGGGTTTACACTAAGGCTACTACTATGATGGAACCGCGCACCCAGAGTGTGTCTTTTAGAATAAATAAATGAAAAAAAAGACGTCCAGAAGAGGGGGAGATAAGCATACCGAAGAGGTCGCTGCTACGTAAGGTGGTTACCATTCCTAGTGTTTGAGTCTCAGCCCAGTTGCGCACCATCCATCTTCATTAGAAAGCCCAATCAAGCCGATGAGCACTTTCACAAGACGCAGGAGGTCCTCGGTAACAAGTGCAAATCAGATTAAGGGCTGAGCCACGCCACCCTTTATGCAACATATGGTTGCAGTTTAGAACCTCAGGCTGTCCCACGTCCGGCTTACCGCATATTTTATACACTTGTTAGATATTGGCATTACTACTGCCCGCTTATGAGATAGCCCCTTCCATCTGCAGGTCTCGTGTTCAATAGAATCCCCATCGCCCATATCCTCTACAATTGGACCGCCTTTATTCATACTTGTGATGTATTTGAGATCGTTGCACTGTTGTGGCTGTGCGTCTTGTCAATGTGAGTCCGACGCCACATGTAGAACAATGGGAGAGAGTTGGACGCCGATCCAACCCTGGCGCTTGTACACGAACGCACGTCCAGGTGTCACTCAGTCAGAGGCAGCGGGACCCACCGGCCGGAAGTGACTTGGGACTCAGGTACCCCTCAAGCGCGGCCAGGGAGATGCTAATTAGGCGACAAGTACCAGGTACCTGCACCGTTCAGGTACTGCTTGTTTGGCTTTGTCCAAGGCTCGGGCCTCATTTAGTACATAGTGCCCTTTGATGAGAACAAAGCAGCTGTGGGTAGCAGGCTGCATGGGCGCTGGCCATTTGCAAGATGACAAAAGACCCCAAGGGAGAGAGAAGAAAGTGGTTTAAAGTCCCTCTCCGGGTTGTTTTAGCACATTTCAAGAACTGGGGTAGTGGTAGGTACGAGGCGTCATGTACCGGCTCAGGTGTATCCGCTACTGCACGATAAGGCTGGCTGATCGGCCAGGGTACCTGCCAGCTACTGCTGCCTGTGTACCGGCCTCAACGTTCCTACCCAAGTCAGCCGAGACCGCTGAACGTGACTGACTTCATTACCTACCTGGACCCCCAAACGCCCCTCCCCCAACTTCCGTAGAGCATAATCGAAGCTCTTAGACGTCCATCCTTTCAGCTTCCATCTTTCCTTGCATCGTCCTTGCGCTGGCCTTACCTATGCGTGTTGAGCTCTAAGCCCTCTCCTTTCTTGTATACTCGCTGCTTCATATAATAGCGCTTCGACAATCTTCCATTCTTTCCGATCGTCTCCAAATATCTCGCGGCTTCTGTCTTACCCCTACACTTATTCCCATTTCCTCTTCGCCACATCCAACTCGCTCGTCCCAATCCGAAATTCGCAGACTTGCAATCAATACCACCTAACAGCACTTTCACCTATCGCACACCTTGTTCTGCCTTTTCATTTCCAGCCAACCCAGCGACTAAGGCAGCCGACCGAGATATCAAGTCATTTCCACGATACTGACTAATCCCATGAACCGCACCCAAGGCCCATCTCAATCAGCACCATTCACGTTTAAAGCATAATAACGCGCCGGGTCCCTACCATTCCTTTTCGGTTCGTGTTTGAACGGATTTGCCGACATTAACCATCCTGGCGTCTCGAGCGATCCGTCTTGCCGGCCTCGCTCTTGGCCTTGGTTTAGGTGCCCTCAGGGCCTATCAGAACAGTCAGGCATCACGGCCGATGGAGTCGTCCAGGAGAGATTCCGGCCATCTCGATGCAGCTGGTGATCGAGAAGTCGTGTTCTGTCACAACTGTTCCAACGAATGGTATCGGGATCAGCAGGGCCTAGAGTGTCCCAGGTGTGAGAGTGACATCACAGAAATTGTTCGTCCAAGCTTGCGCTCATTGCTCTCTTCCTGTTTTATCTCCGACCATATAACTAATTCTTATATTATAGATTAGCCTAGAGAACGACCCTCGAGACTTTGACCAATCCTCCGGTGCGACGTCACCCGACCCCTCCGGCCCAGCACGTTACTATGAAGACTCGGATCCTGACGAAGCTGATATCGAAGATCATATGGAAGGAAATCATGGGTTTGCTTTCCACCGGAGCACCCGGCAGGGTCCTAATCGCGAACACCACAATCCAGAAATGGAGCCTGTAATCTCCCGTTTTTTCGACATGATAAACGGCTTCAGTAATGACGGACAATCAAATATTTCGAGGCAGTATTCTGCAATGCGACCTGGAGATGACTTGCATCATAACCCTGGTGTCAGTCATCAACACCATCACCATCATCATCACCATCATCATGAATCAGATCATTCTCATAACCACGATCATGAATCAGAAGCCGAACCCCAAGCCAACCCCGAACAAACTTATGCACGACAGTTTTCCTCAGCTCGTATTCATCGAACAACCTTTAGAAGTGGTCCGTTCGGGACTGCGAGTGTTACTATTTTCTCAGGTCCAGTTCGAGGCGTTGCCGGCAACCCCTCGGTCGAGGGTAGAGGGGACCCTTTCCAAGAGTACGTAAAGGACATGCGTTTTGTTCCTCAGCATCCGATGAAGGTCGGACAATCGTATAAATGCTAACAATCCGCCTATAGAATATTCGCCAATGTCATGCGAGACATAGGCCCCCCAGATGGCCGAGATCCAGATGGTCGACAACCAGATGCTCCATCTCCTGCATTCCTCCGTGGTCTGCAGGACATTCTAGGACTCCTCAACCCTGCTAACGCAATGGCTGGCGATGCTGTCTATTCCCAAGAAGCTTTAGATCGCATCATCTCTCAACTTATGGAAGCAAATCCTCAGTCAAATGCAGCCCCACCCGCCTCGGAAGAAGCCCTGAACAAACTGGACCGGCGCTCCGTGGATAAAGAAATGCTAAGTCGAGATTCGAAAACTGAATGCTCGATCTGCATTGATGACCTCAAAGAAGGCGAAAAGGCTATTTTCCTACCTTGCAAACACTGGTTTCATGAAGATTGTGTAGTTCTGTGGTTGAAGGAACACAATACCTGTCCCATATGTCGGTCACCAATCGAGAAGAGTGAGCAGGGTAGCGAGGCTGGCAATCGTGATAGGAGTGGCCCAACACCACCGAGCGACAACTCGTCCAACACCCCAGATATCATCAATCCAGGATTCGGTTTCGGATACCCAGGAAACAACTCAGGAGAACCGTCTGGAATTGGACGTTGGTTGTTTGGAACAAGAACAGACAACAGCGCGAATCACGCCGCAGGTTACACACCAGATGAACGTAGCCCCTCCCCGGCTGTCTTCAGTGGTGCATCAACCCCTGCACAACCTACGCAACCTCCCCGACGGCCTGTCCGTCTACCCGGCAGTCACGTACGCCTACATGAAGCCTTTCGGTTCGGAGGGGAGAGAGACAGGGAGAGGGAGAGGGAGAGGGAGAGTGATAATGAACGGGACAGGGATAGAGACCAAGGCTCCTCATCCGGAGTGAGCTATGACACTTCGCGAATGCAACGTCGCAATTCAATGTCGCCAACCAGCCCTAGAGGAGTTGGTATTGGTGAGCAGAGTACTCGGTTTAGACAGCGGAGCCCTTCTCAAAATACACGCGACTCCCGACATTCTTCTACGAATGGTGGCCCTATCAGCTGGCTACGGGGACGGTTTTCGGGTGGAGGAAACGGTAACAGTCCGTCTCGTGATGAAAGACAATCCTAGGAGTAGGACTTCTTCTCCGTCACTAGGGCGGTATGTCATTGCACAGATTCAGTCTGAAGCCGCATTTGTGAAACAAGGACACAAGTATATTCGGCTGGCGTTCAAGGAACTGTTCTACTTGAAAAGATAATGGAATCTACTGCTAGGAGTGATAGATGCTCACCCCCATTCTTGACTCACTTTTTGCACCAGGCCCTCAAGCACACCTCGGTATCCATCCTTTCCACCTTTTATTGGTCTGGACATTTGCGTTCCAGGCAAATCCTGCGCTTGTCGCATTCTTTTTATGCCTTTATGGTATTTTATCGTTGCTTGTCGGCCATAATCTCTTTGCAAGACGCCATGACCCTTTATATCATTAGCCAAGGATGGACGGGTGTGGCTTAGGGTAAAATTGAACGTGGCTGCTATATCATCTTTATGCAGCCAAAGGAACCCAGTAAATAGGAGAATTAAGAACTCGATTCTCTAGCCTCCGCAAATGTTTCTACGTGATGTTGCCACCTTAAAGCTCGTCACCCAACACTGTGAATCTAGGAAAATATTTTATAAGCATATTCGTCTATTAAAAACTAGGTAGCGAGAGGCCAGGGTGTAGTTCCCGATATGTCATTTCCAGAAATCTTTGCATCCATCCCATCGACGGTATATAGGTATCTAGTGCATCCCCCCCTTGCGAAAAGTTAACTTGTTACGACTATGTTGCTCCTGCATGTAGCCAAGACCCCAGAACGAAATCGGGAGATAGAAAAGAGAAGCCCAACAATGACCCAGCTGATGAAAAAAAGAAAACAAGCCATGCCCACCAATATTCAAAGGGAATCAGGAAGAACAAAAGACAAAGCGTAGTAGGTATCTCGGATAAAAAAACAACTTGCGCATGAGGCCGTTTCGTCATGCCAGCCGGTGTGGCCTGCCAGAGGAAAGGGCGAGTTAAAGACTGGCTAACAATTGATGTTTCGTTATGGCGTTCATCATAGCAGATACAAGATGAGCTTAATCCTGAAAGAATTTGACAACCTGCTGCAGGTCTCTCAAGCCCACACCATGCTTAGGATAGCAGATGTAGACTTCCTCTCCGAGAGCGCCAAACTTGTTGCGGAAATCGGCCTTGCGGCGGAGACCAAGATTCTCGACAATAGAGCGATATGTGCTGGCAAGGAACTTAGCACGAATGCCACCAAGATGCTCACCAGGAGTCAGCTTCTCGGATACTCCTACGCCAAAGGTGACCTGGCCAGAGACGCTGGAGAGAACGAAGTTAATCAGTACTTCGATAGCACCGTTCACGGCCCCTGGGAAATCAAGTGCCCATTTGACTTGCCAGCCGTGACGTGGAGCGAGCTTATGTAGAACGACCATACTCATGACCTTGCCATCCTTTTCAGCGACGAAGTAACGACGATGTTCCTGATCGACCCACGGGCGAACCTCAGTCAGATGCACTTGCTTCCCCTTGCGGGAGTTCTTCCATTCTTCAATTGCAGGGTCAACGCGCTTCATGAAGTCCGCATCGTATTTCACTTCATGAATCTTAACACCCTCACGCTCGACTCGTCGGGTCTTGGGTCCCATGATGTTATGGTGCTTGTCCGCATCAACCCGCTGCTCCTCCGTACAGGACAGAGTTCGCCATCCCAGCTCTTGAGCCAAGATCTTCTGGACATCATAAGAGACCAGCATCCACATTGGGGTCAGATGAAGCTCATGAGTCACAAATTTGGCAAAGGCCAATGTAACATCCTTATACTGAGTCCGATCACAGAGGGGGTCGCCCGTGATCATGGCAAACTTTTCCTGTTTCACATATCCCACAGCAGCACCAGTGGGATGTCTCCATACCTCGAAGCGGTCGTCAAGCCAAGATGTGTTCGAAGCATCACCATAGTTGGCAATAAGCTTCTCTAGGGGTGGCATTGTGTCATTCGGATGGGGCTTGGTAGTGTCAGCTTCAGGGTGAGGCAATCCAGGTTTGCGCTCGGGCAGCGACTTGGGGTCGCGATGGAAAAGGGAAGCGTATCGAACGTCGCCCAATTCAAACATCCAGCTAACAATACGTTCAAGGCCCAGACCGGCACCAGCATGTGGTGGCGCACCAAGGTCAAACCCAGCCAGATAGTCCTCCATACCATCCTCGGATATCCCAGCTGCCAACATGTTGGTACGTAGCTCATCGGGGTCGTGGATACGCTGGCCACCAGAGCAAATCTCCTGGCCACGGATGAATATGTCAAAAGACCGAGTCCAGTTACGGTCTTCGGGGTCTCTGTGCGTGTAAAAGGGGCGAGCGTTGGCCGGGAACTTGTCCAGTATGTAGTAGTCGGTGCCGTACTTCTCCTTGACGAGTTGTCCAAGTCGAATCTCGTCGGGGGTAGAAAGATCTTCCTCTTCGACGTCTCGTCCATCTTCTCGCAACATTCGAAGACCCTCCTTGAAATCGAGAACAAGAGTCTCTTCCAGCCATTTGAACTCGGAGCTAGGCCATCGCTTCTGCAAGAGTTCGATTTCGGGCAGAGAGTACACTGCTTCAAATACTGCCTTGAGGAAGTCATCAAGAACCCAGATGACCTCATGGTAATCCTCGTCGATAGCCATTTCAATGTCTAGGCCGGTGTATTCCGTCAGGTGACGGTGGGTGTTGGAATTTTCCGCTCGGAAGACAGGGCCAACCTCGAAAACACGACGGAAGTCAGCCGACACACACATCTGCTTGGCCAGTTGTGGACTTTGGGCCAAGAAGGCATTTCGACCAAAGTAGTTGACCTTGAATACGGCGGCACCGCTTTCAGTGGCAGCAGGTTGCAGTTTAGGGGTGTTAATTTCAACAAATCCCTTATTCTCCATCGTCTCTCGGAACACCCGAGTTACGAGAGAACGAACACGGAAAAGGACCTGGTTAGACGGATGGCGCAAATCCAGAATGCGTGATGACATGCGGTTACGCAGGCTCTCCGGGGGCTTGTAGTTGCTAAAGGGTGCGCTGGCAGCAGCATTCACAAGGTAGATAGAGTCAATGTCAACCTCTACGCCGGAGTGGGTAGCGGATCTGATAGGCTCGGGGGGCTCCTTGAGGACACCGTGAACTTGAACAAGGGATTCAGGGTTCAGTTTCTGAACCCACTTGACCATATCCATGTTTTCGCGAGACAGGACACCCTGAATAGAATGTGTTTGATCACGGAGGAGGAGGAAATCCAATGCCTTGGACAGCTGGCGCTGGGTGTGAATCCGGGCACGGAAGTCAACCTCGGTGCCAATCGGCAGCTTGTCGAGCTGCGCGATCGTGTTGAGCTCATTGGGATGAACCAGTAATTCAGAGCTAGCGCCTGTGCGTTGGCTGTTGCGGCCACTATCCATACTAGACCTGGCCGACATTATATCCAGGCTGGAGCGCGTGGAGCTTTTGATCTCAACGCCGCTGTCATTCATCTTTGCAAGCAGTTTGCGGTGGTCCGCAGGAATAGTTGAGACACCAGCGCTCACTCGCTTAGGGTTGGAGCTGAGGTTGTTGGCGATGGTGGGCGAGATCGGAGAGACTGGGGAGATGGGGGAGTTCGGCGCACGGCTGGAAGTGGGATTCTCGCTGACCGTAGACGTCTCAACTAACGGGGATCGGACAGCAGGCGTTGTGTCTGTCGAATCCTTTTTAATCGTCGAGGCGCTGTCGCTTTTGCTGCCATTGGCGGCTGCGCCTTCAAGGCTGGACCGGCCACTGGCATCGCTGGACTGGCCTTTCCCATTTCTATTCTTGCTTCGAGAGCGATGTGGGAGCCCAAGGGCGGACACCACAGGGGCGAAGATCCCAGAGGCGCTGGGCATGTTGTATTCTCGGCTCGTCGGCCTGGGTTGTAAACAGTTGATTCACTCAAGTGGAAAAGGTGGTGATGTCGAGTCAACTAATATCTCCCAGCTTGGCAGAGCCTTGGCAGGGCAAATTCCAGGTCGCAAGGACGAGGATCGACCGATGGTTGACCAGTCTGTGACGTATTCAAGGTCCAGGGTGTTATATGGACCCAATTCACGGGTACCTAGGTACTAAGGCTAGGACAGGTGGTATGGAGAGAAGACGAGGGAGATGGAAAGCGTGGGTAGGCAGTGGCGTGGGGAGAAGGAGATTATTAACAAGACACAAAAGGGTGTAGAGGGGCGGCCGGAAGGGTTTTCAGCACGGGCGAAGGTTATAAGTCCGGGCAAAGAAGCGAAAGTCAGAGAGCGAGAAGCTTTTAGGAGCGAATTTTGGTTGTGAACTAGGTAGCCCACGCTGCAAGGAGACCGATGGATGCTGAAAGAAATGGGGCCGGACTTCAGGACTTCAACGTCGACGTTGCTGGTTCAATTTGTAAGGCGCCTGTAAGTCGGCCTAGGCACGCCAGGTGCTGCTAAAGATGGGAAGTGGCTGGGAGGGCCTGTTGGTCGATGGTGCCGATGCATCCACGCCAATCTACACAGACGTCCCGACTACATCTGGATACATGCATCCCTACTGGGCGCACCTTGAAGTGGTGAGGTCATGGGCGGTTACACACATGTTGCGGCATTGACCCGGCAGTCACCCCTGCCACTGCATCCTGGCAGGCGCGGTGCATGGCAGGTACCCAGTACAAGGCCTCGGCACGCAGGTGTGGCCGGCAGGAGCGACTTTCCGGCTGTTCCCACGGAAAGCGCCAATCGCACCGCTCGGGCGTAGAAGGATTAAACAACCTTTTTCCCCTTTGTTCTTTCGTCTTCCGAATCTAGACCTCGTGGCCCGTTGAATGGCGACCAGAGGTGAGGGTCAAGGTACCGAGTTACCGAGACTGGACGCCACGCCACTAGGACATGGGCCGTCCATTGCCAGACACGTGTGATTCGCTGGGGGCTTGACAGCGACTTTCGCTAGCACGAGGTGCCCCTCGTCTCATCGACATCGACGCAGAAACCTGACTTGTGGTTAGGTCATAGATGGACTCAGCATTGCTATCGAATTGGTTCGCGGAGCTCATCTCCGGCTGGTTTGCCAA